AGATTAAACACCATGAAACCAAGTTGCTGGAAGGTAATGAATGTAATCAGAAATTAGAAATACAGAACCCAATATAGCAATGAACTAAATTTATCTGGACTCTAGGTTCATGGCTTCAGAGAAATAGATTTCTTCTGTAGAACTGGAAAATTAAGAAAAGCTTGATGAATATTTAATAAGTTGCCTAATTTTGATGTTGATGTAGCATCCGAATCTCCAGGTTTATATTAATAAATGTAAAGTTATTTTTCTATGTTATTAGATAGGTTTCTATTTTAATAGTATCAGATGCCAGGGAATTTCCCAACTGCCAAATAATACTCTAAAAAATCTGAAAAATCTGTGATGCACTAAGGGTAGAGGCCTGCTTAGTACTTTTCCTCAGCGTGGAAACCAAAAAGCTTATAAAGATATCGACACACAATTTTGATGTAACGCTTCATCTTCAATTTTAGAACTTTAAAAAATTGTGCCCTATTTTAGTTGACCCTAATAATTAGGCAGTGCTATTGTTTGGTATACCTGTATATATTCTGAAAAAGGAAAATGATGCACTCTGTGAATCTGTGTAGTTTTCATATGACTAGGTTTGATGCTATAAAAGCATCAAAATTTACCCAAATAGTAATTTGCCCCCTATATTTTCTATAGAAATGAAATAATTTTAAACTTTATCAAAGCTTGGCATTTTAAACTGATTTTAAATAAAATTAATAATTCTACATATAGTTATGCTATGATAAAGATCAGCAAAATAGATGTCTTTCAGGTACTTTCCTTTTCCACTTCTGGCTTGGGGAAAGTAAGTTTTATTGTGTTAATTTAGATAACTGGTTACCTAGCAGAGAACAAGTAAGAAGGACTTTCATGCACCCTCTTTCTTCATTGTAAATTCCTTCCAATTCTCTGTAGACCTGTTTCTCGACCCTATTTAAACTTTAAGGGCTGTAAGGTTTGTTTTATGACTCTATAATATTAAAAATATTTTAATGGTGGGGAAAAGAGTGCATTTTAAGCACAAAAATTAAACTCTCCAATTGGGGAAAAAGTAGAAGAAAGTTGTATCAAACCCCAGGCCCTTTCAGCAGGTACTGAAGACCTTATTGCAGAAAGCAGCTCTGGTTACGGTGGAACTCTGAATCCTGGGAGGGACAGGATGTTTGACTGGCTTCAAAGGGGCCAAGTACCTAAGGGAGTAGCGGGGCTGGAGTTGTGCTGCCTCTCCAAGAGTTCTCAGTCTTCCAGGGATGGGACGGTGTGTGCTTCTTAAAGGTTTTGTTCTCACCCCGACAGTTTTCATGGTGTACTCTAGATAGAGGAGCTCAGACTTTCTTAGTCTAGTCTTAGGGTCAGGAGGTCAAGCCTTGAAAACACAACCCAAGGAATGCTAAGACCCTTCATTTGTTTTGAGTTTATGAAATCTTGACCAAAGTGTTTTGGCCAGTAGGAAGAAAGGGAGCTTGGGTGGGGCCCAAGGTCAGACTTGCTGGTGCTGACTCAATTCCCTTTCTGGGGGCCCTTAGCTCCCCTGCTAGGGAGGCTTCTGTCCCTAGACACTGGGACCAGGTCAGAGATCTGAGGTCTGTCCAGAAGCTTCTGGATCCCAGTTGTCTTCCCTTCCCTGGCTTGCCCTTGTTCTTGCCAGATTCACGTCGCTTCTCACTCTCTGCCCAGCTTATTCAGGTCACCACCCGACAGCGAGTGGGCGCGAGAACGCAGGCTCCCGGGTCTCGTCTCCAGGACGCAGAGCCGAGAGCGCCGACCGCGCACCCGCTCCCCGAGGGGCCCGAGAGTGGGCGTCCGCACGGCCCAGGCCTCATGAGGGCGCGGACAGTGCCGGCTGCGCTCCGCGGCGGCGCGCGTGCCGGCCGAGCGAGGCGCCCGCGGGGGACAGCGCGCCCGGCCTCGAGGGACGCGTGGCGGGGGCGGAGTTCCATTTGCCAGCGGCGGGAAGGACGCGCGGGAAGGCGAGGGAGCAGGAAGCGGGTGGCGGCGGCGGCCCCACTGGAAAAGAGGCGGGAGGAGGCGGGAGGAGGGAGCGGAGGAGGGAGGCCGGAGGAAGGAGGGAGCGCGGCAGGCAGGCGGAGGGAGGGCTGATTAGCATGCAGCAGCGCTCGCGCGCCCGGCTCCATTGTTTTAACACCTCCCCTCTCCTCCGCGCCAATCTGTCACCGTTCAGCAGGCGAACGCTGCTGCCTCAAATGCTGCTCTTCTCAAATGAGACGGATAATTAGTTGCCCCGCACGAATGCCGCACTCTTCTCACCCCTGATTGCTATCACCTTCTTGCTCCTGGCAGTTTTGACACCTCGTAATCAGCCTGCTGCTTTTCTCTTTTCTTCCCGACTTCTGCTTCCCTCCCCCTTTCCTTCCTATTTATTTATTATTATTATTATTATTTTTAAATGTAATCCTGGTTTCTGTTTGAACGAACGAGGCCTCTGCTGAGTTAACCTTATACGTGTGTAAGCCTGTGTAAGTGTATATACATATATAGATAGATATACACACGTCTATGTAAAATGAGGTGTAGGTGCGTGAGTGGTGGTAGTTTTGCGGGGAAAACGGCTTCTACCTTCTACGCGGAAAGAATTATCTTCTAAAGATATTTTTGGGAAGGGAGGAGTTGGGGAGAGGGACGAGAGGGAAGAGTAGGGAAGACCTCAATTAATGCTTTAAAGATCTCTTAGAAATTAACAAACTGGGTAGTCTCGGAATCTGCTGTCAGGAGCGTGTTTTCCCCTCTCTCCTGTAACAAGCACTGACAGTCTAATTACTGTAGCTACAAGCAGCTGTCGAGGCAGCAGCCCGGGAGAGCAGGCGCCGCAGCCCAAGCGCACCCGGCCGAACCGCCAGACCCTGTCCAGCTCCGGGGCGCGTGCAGACGAGGGCCCGGCCCGGCCCGGGCGGCGCCAGAGCGCACCTCAGGCGGGCCTGCGAGCAGCGGACACACTCATTGTTTCGTATTTATAAAGACTTTACCTTGAAGGTTAAAAGATGTGAAGAAAAAAGGAGGGGGCGTGGGGGAGTGGGAAGAAATTCTCCTGAGCTCCCATCCACCTCTTTCCTACCTCCTCGAGCTCTCCCTCCCCCCGTGTTGGTAAAATAACCACGCAACCCGGGGCTGAGGGGGCGGGGTGAGCCAGGCTGGAGTGTAAGAAAGCAGATGTCCCCGCTGGCAGCAGCCTCAGCCTCCGGGGAAAGCTGCACTGGGGGGCCCTCCTGAGGACATTCACCTCCCACTTCTCAGGCATCCCGCTCACAACTGCCTCGCCTCGGCGGGGGTGGTTTCTTCAGACTCAGCGTTTCGGGTGTGCAGCTTTTTTACCTGGAAGCTGTTTTTACTCGGCCACGCTTAGCAGATGCCAAGTTGCAGCCCCTGCCCGACTCAGTACCTGGAGACCGAGGGAGACCACTGGGGTCCCCACTCCACCTCCTGAGGTGTGGCCAGGCGCTAGCTCAGCAGTGAGGGACAAAAGCCGGCCCACCAGGCCTTGCTCCAGTGCTCACTCTTCAGAACATGGGTCATAGTGGTAGATCTGGTACCCAAAAGAAAACAGCGTTCCCTGCTCTACGTGATGGAGGCGGGAAAGGGGTGAACTGCGGAGAGGTCAGGGATCCAGTTCGAAATAATCTCTTGGCTATGGGGTTTCTTCTGGTGTTAACAGGCTAGTAAGTTTCAATAGTGTGAGAGAGAATCTTTTGAAAGGAAGAAGGAAAAAGAATTCCGTTACACAAGCCAGGTACAGTCTTATATTCTGGCTAGTACACGCAGGAAAGTTTTAAATTTTGTATGTGCGTGGGAGGGGTAGGTGAGAGAGAAGGATGAAGAGGTAGGGGGAAGGGAAGAGGCTTGGATAATTGTCTAGGCATTTCCATTCAGCCCCAGTGGCAATGAAAGAAAGATGTACATGCCTCAGAACCCTTCACAGTGAATACCTAATAATTGCTATGTCACCTTGGTGAGGAAGATGTCAGTGTGATGTGCTTGGCACCCTGAGAAGTTGAGGCACCACTCTCCTTCTTCCACACTTTAAGGCTCTTCACTGTGGCACTGGGGCCTGCTTGAATTCCCCCATCCCAAACCCTCCAGTTTAAAACACTAGCTTTAAGATGGTTTAAATTTGTTTCAAAGTTGCAAATTAATGTTTACTTCATAAAATCAAAGCATTCTTAAAAGTCTGGGAAAAAGACAATCCCCAAAGGCAAAAATTATAGAGAAGAAAACAAAAGGGAATTTCACTTAAAAATGTTAAAAACAAAATTTTGCATTTTTTTAAATTTAATATTCTCCCCTTAAACATCTTTCAGTGGCTACTGTAAATTGCTACCACTGAAAAACAAATTTCTAATCTAAATCAACGCATATGTATAGGTCCTTACAGGACGTTAGTGTGTTCTCACAATATATGCAAATAGTCCTTTTGGGAAGTTTAGTCTGAAAAGAAATTCTAAAATTCAAAGGGATCCAATTGTAATACAATGTTAACAGATCTAGCCATGACTCTATTTGGTTATAGGAAAGAAAACATTAAGACATTTTCCACAATGTGGTTTATTTCCTTTTTATTCAGAGACAACACACTTGTGATCACAGCATAAGTAATCATTTTAATACTTAATTTTTATCATTTAGCTATATACAAAGTAAAATTTAAAAACCATGTACATTATTTTTAAAAAACAATTGAAAGCATTTTACCAGTTATTTTATCTTTGCTATCTTAGGTATGGCATTTGCTTAGTAGATGTTTATGTTGTCAACAATTCAAAAGGTTTGTGAAAAAGAACATTACCTATATAATAAATAATCTAAATTTTCAAATGATAAAAAACCCCAATCCTATAAACATCCAATGTTATCAAATTGATCTCATGAGAAATTCATGGAGTAAGCTTAGACATCTGAAATGAATTATGGTTATACAACTTTATAAGTCATATAATTTTGAATTATGGTAATAACACTGTAAACAAGAATAAAATAAATTATAGATTTATACAGAATGATCTTTTAAAAGATGACAAAGTCACCAAATTTAAGTTTAGGGGAAAAAAAATTCAAATAGCTGCAGCATTGAATTTTTCTATAAACATCCTTAAACTTAGTTTACAATCAAGTATTTATAGAATTACAAACCCCAAAATCATTGCATAGAACCTGAAATATCTGTTTGTAAATTTGTTTTAAGTCTCCCCATTAAAGTGTGAATTAAGATGCCGGAGGAAATCCCCCCTAGATGTAATGGATGGTGGGAAAACTGCTTGACAGAATTCACATACTCGAGGTATATGTAGTTCTGAGTCTGTACCACTTAGTAAGTCACTGTCTTGATTAGGATAGGGCTTCCAAACAGGCTGCAGGAAACAAACAAAAGCATTTCTGTTACTTGTATTTCAGATCAACTTGTATTTTGAATGAATTATATGCATGCATTTGAAAATTCCTTAATTGCCAAGTGCCAATATTTCCTAACATGAAAGCAAATTAGTTTTACATTAAAGTTGACATGATGGGACTCAATTATCTTTTTTCCATAAAGGGAGCAACAAAGTTTTGGTTAAAACCCATTTGGGATACACATTTGTGCAGTTTATCTCCACATATGTAAAAGTATGTGACCTTAGCACTGGTAATTTTTAATACCCACTATCACAATGACAGTAGTTTTAAAACTATGGTCAATATTTTAAATATTATCATTAAATTCTATCTTTATTATTTTACAAGAAAAATTTTAAATTACAGGGTCTATTAAATCCATGATTGTAGAAAGGATAAAGTATGTGTGTGTACAAGCATTATAAGCTAAAAAAAAGTAATTATTTCATTAAATATATAAAAATAAGTTAGCAATATGTGTTAGATTTTTGAAAATAATTTTTAAACTTATAAACAAATTTCACTGACCAATTATTTTTTTAAGTTTTATATATGTACTCATTCACTAGAATCTAACACCAGATGTACCCTTTTGACTTCTTTCTGTGCTCCTGCTGTAGATCATGTTGTCTGGCCTTACTGTAATTTTTCAAAACCACTTCAACTAGAATCAGCATATAAACAAAATTATTTATCCTCTTCCTTATTTGTAATACAGGCAAGAAATAGCATTTAGTTTAATATTAATAGTATGTACTAAAATGGTTGGTTGCCTGTAATATATTATTTTCTTAAATTGTATAAAAAATATTTTTTAAATTTTCTTGATTACCTTTGTGTAAGAGACAAAAGAAAATTACAAATTCATACTTTGATAAGAATCATCCCCTAAAGTATTTTTTACTCCTTTTCACTCTTATTACTAAGTTTTTAGAGTAGCACAGCCAGATCTAGCATCAAATACTAGTTACATCCTCTTAACTTTCTTCCATCTAGCTAATCAATCATTTACATAAACAGTATATTACTAATTGAAACATTTGAATTTCACAACATCACTGTCATCTTATAAACATTACTGGACAGCTGTGTATAGTTGGTGTAAATATACAAAGTCTGTCTAGGCACAGAGGGCTTCTAGTAAGATTCACGCAATTTCTTTTCTGAGACCTGGCAATTTTATTACACACCAAAAATAGTTAAAAGAAGAATATGAAATTTGGGGGTAAAATAATTTTTAGAATATTTAGACTAAAATTTTATTCTTTTCACTTTAACCAAGAAATACAATTGATTCATATGTACAATTCTAATAGGAAGCTAGTATGGATATAAGGAAAAGAGTATTACTTTAAGGATAATTCTTATTGAGGTCTATCAAATAGTAAAAAATAGACCTAGAAACAATTTAGCTTCTAAATCCAGTGAGCCAATCTTCCTCTGCCAATATGCTTTCAAAATATACATTTATTCTATTCTATGAAGAGCTATTATTTCAGATTTTCTTTCTTTCTAGGATTTAGTTGTGACTCCAATCACTGACTTGGCAAAACAAAGACATCAAAACCACATACATCAAATATAAGCAGATACATTTTAAACTTTGTTATAATATCTGAATGGGTAAGAAAGTATTAATTAGTAATAACTGGTCAATAGTCAAAATCTGAAATATGTAACAGATAATTTATTTCACTCTTACTTATACGTATCAACAAGTCAAGACTTTATCATACTAACTTTATCACTATAACTAAAACAATGTATGTTTTAGAAATCCATTTTAGAAATATTCTTTCAATCCTAAACTGTAATACAGCTTTCCAAACAAATTTCGTTGCCTTTTCTGCCAAATTATCAATTATCTAACCTTATGCCCCATGTCTTGTGACAGCTCAACACCAATTCTCCTGCATTTTTTAAGCTGCATACTTCTCTATCGAGCTGTAATCACATACCAGCTGTTTCCCTTGCTGTAGTATAGAAAGCAAATGCACAATGCAGGGTGCCATCTACTGAATCAGGAATGCACAGACTAACTAGTAAAAGAACAAGCAAGACATATAATGGAGAAAAAGTAACAAGTATTAGAACTGATGTACTTCACAGCTCCACAGGAATTCTACTGGCAATAAATGAAATTGTTTAATTTGTTTCATTTAGTAGCAACTATAACTGAGACTATGATGAGAGAACTAAGGTACAAGGTGGAATATCAGTGAGTTTATAATTAAGATTTATTGTCAGATATTACCTAGTTTTTCCTACTACTGAAATATACCACAGCATGACTGCAGTCTCCTTTGTGTGACAGTTTAAAACTCTATAACCTACCAGTATATTTATAAAACCCAAAATGTATTTTTTCAATTAAGTAACTTAACACAGAGAAGATAAACAAATCCAAGTTATTTGTACACACACACACACACACACATACACACACACACACACTCTCACATCAATGTGCATTTTCATGCATTTCTGTTTATTTTTATTATTGTAATGATTGTTTATTTTCTTTACCTTTATGAATTTTTTAAAATAATAAAACCATTCTATAATAGAAAATAAATCTAAAGGATAGGGCAGGAGTGGAAGGAAGCTGTAAGTAGTGTGACTTTTAAAAAAATGAAAATAAAAACCAAAGTCTACAGATCTATTGGCAGTATGACTAAGAATATGATATTACTTGAAAGATGGGTCATGTATTATTTTTTTTTTAGTTCATGTATTCAAATAAATAAGAATATATAATACAATGATAAATTTATGGAAAATGAAAAATAGCTTGATTTACAATATAAAATTTCATAAAGAATCCTGAGGTAATACTGATATTAAATAAGTTTTGAATAAGAGGCTAAGAAAGTGGCATCACACTAGGAATAAGGTTTACTTGTATAATTAAAATGTGCTTTATTATACGGCATTACCACATTCATAATTAATAATGTCATGTAATATGGAAACTTTTAACTATTGTTAGCCATTAATAATGTAAAAAAAAGTAGATAATCTAAAAGAGATACATATCTGTACATGTATGGCAAAATGTGTGTTCACACATAATATATTTGTTAATGCAAAACAGTTACCTGCTGTGGTCCTCGGATAGCTCTTCCTGAGGAATCAAATGAGGGAAAAGGTGCATCAGACGGACCCTGGAGTGGGAATGTATTTACATATACATGGTTTCCAGGTGGCAAACACGGAGCTTTGTCCAGAGCTGTCCTGACACAAGTGTTTATAAGATTTGAAGGTTTCGATTTGTCAGTTGTTTTAAGGTTTTGTATAGCTGAAGCTATGGGCTCAATTCCCTGATTGTCAAATAAAGTTTCTTCTGTTTTAACCAAGTTTCCTGGGTTGTTTCTGGGCTCCATATTAAATGTGTCCTGGCACACTGTCTCAGATGTGGCAGGACCAAGAATTCTGGGTCTCTCTGGAGTGCTATGCAGGAAAGGAGAGTCAGTGTCCATAGGTGGAAACTTGACATTAAATTTAGAAAGTGATTCAAAGGAGGTATCTTCTTCATCTCGGCCCAGTCCTCTTGGTGTGACAGATGTGCTGCATGGTGCATCTCTATTTATACCATCTTTAGCCTGAGGCTTATATAGCGCTTCTTGTTTATCGGTTTTATCCGTACACTGTATAGGCACAGAGCACTGTGTTTCTGCAGGGGAAAAGAACATAAAAGGGAAACTTTTGGATTCAAATAAATCTTAAAAATCTGTTTAATCAGTTTTGGACAGACGAATATTATTTTTCTATTGGTTTTTAACCGCAACTGAAGACAACTGGGCTTTTTATACTTGCTACCATGTTACAAAGACGTATCAGCAGTCTCCAGTACCTGAAGTGGGATATAGGGAATGTAGTTTATTAATAGCTTATTATTTGCAGTTTAACTTTGTCTTTCCCTTAATTTTTTTGCTGTAAGCTTTGCATCTAGTTACATTACTCCACATTTTAAAAAATATTTGCTTGTAGTATACACTTAAACATTTTGTCAGTAACGGAAACAGTACCTGTGAATTTATGTAGAAAAAGAGATTGTTACGAGGGAAATCCTTACTAGGCATATACATACATGGGCACATACACATACATATGTGATGAATTGGTGTGAATTAGGTAAATCATTTCCTCTTATTACTACGTAACTAAGTATGTCACCCATCAATTTCACCACTGACACTTCTCAAAAATATATGTGATGAGTGGTGGTGGTGGTAGGGTTTAAGAAGAAAGGCAGTAGCAAAAGAAGGATGAAACCTTAAAATGCATGCTAAGAAAATGATAAATGAATATGCATTATTTATATATTAAATATATATTCATACATAATTCTCATCAATGGGAAAAACCCATTACTTTAGCCAAAGGGTCGTTACTTTATTGATTGGGATAACAGGTAAGTGGCATGTCCTCTATAAGACATTTATTTAAAAGGTACACATTCAACAAATTCAGGCATTCAGAACATAAGCAAAAGACAGAAAGTAGATAAACAGATTTTCTGAGGAGTCAGCATATGAGGCACAAAGGTCCCTGGATACACGCATTTCACTCCTCTCACCCTAAGTTCTTATCTTAGGTTCATGCTAGTAAGTTTGATGATGTAACCCTAGCAGGTTAGAGGCAGAAAATTAAAAAGGTATATGACCTATTAAAGGCAGGCATACACATCAATAAGAGCTGAAAGAATGGAGAAGATAGAAAATACTGCCGTCTAGTGTAGGGCCAACAAAGTCCACACTTCTTAAACCAGAACCAAAACTCTTCAACAATAAACAATAAAGTGCATTTTCCCTATTGATGATTCTTAGACATAAGAAAACATGAAAAGCTAAATTTTGCTCTACAGTGTCAATTCGAGAAGCCAGTAAGAATGGTAATGTGTATTATTTGGAAATGATTTTAAATGGCTAAATAGTTAGAAAAAACTCCCAAATATTAACACTTTAAAAAGGTTAAAACAGTGATGATATATTCAATTCACAAATGAAGACTTTAGCAATGTTTAAGTAGACGAGGTTCACAAAGTATCTCGCACAGTGTCTGTTAACTTGGTAGATGCTTAGCTAGCTGTAGTTAGAACACCTAACAAATGTCAATTATTTTCCCTTTTCCTTTGGTTTTGGTGTAGCACATGTCAATGCAAGATAATTTTTATTTTAGATATTCTTAAAACAGTAGAATCAACTTCTTAGATTTATCCTGTTATATACTATTGCTTCTTATTAAAAGTCTTGGAACTGTTTCTTTACCTCTATCTACATTTAACTCCTATCGGATTCATTCTCTACACTTTTCAGAGAAATTTTTCCAAAGTACAAATGGCCAGGCTACCTCCCTAAAAACCCTTCTCATGGATCTCTAAGGCCCTGAGACTGTCACATGACTGTCCATAAGTAGACTTAGATCAGCTCTCATCTTTCATGAAATCTTTTTTCTTCCTATCTCTACAGTAATTAAGTTCTTGGCTTAATAAATTTGGCAGTAGTCAACACGGAACAGTTTTTATTTTTAAATAGCCATGTTCTTATGTTTCTGCGTGTGCTGTGCAGAGTGCTTCAAGTGCTTCCTTCTACTACTCTTTACCTTATGTTTATTTGTCCTTCATATATGGGCTCAGACATGGATGAATCTCCATAGCTCCCCATAACTGATAAAGGGAGTGACTCGTAAAGTGTTTTGAAAGACTCACTCAAAACTCACTGTTGTAAGTAGATTCTCATAGCAATCCTCCACTGGATTTCCAAGGCTGTATTTCATAACAGGAGAAGATGGTTCATTTTTCTCCCTCAGAAAGACCAATGGATTTGACCCACCAATGTGCAGCATGTGGGCTAGTAGCCCACCTCCAATGGACTAGAGGTCATCAGGGTGCACTGCCCTCTCCAATCAATGCCCCCACCCCCAAGGGCTAAAACCAGTATTATACTGACAAGTATATCTCTATTTCACTCATTCAAGTTGGTCTAAATTATGGTTCCTTAAGGTCTTAAGCTATGTTTTGTTCTCCACTTATCTCCAATATGCATCACCACTTATGCCTAGTGTCTGGCAGTATGTCATCAATAAACGCATTCGGAATAAAGTCTCTTCCAACACACAGTGACCCTGTATGGCAGAGTGTAAGTACTTGCTGTGTTTCCAAGGCTGTAAATATTTACAGAAGCAAATGCTTCTTTTTCCCTGAAGAGTAGCTGGTAGGTTTGAACTGCCAGCCTTTGGTAAGCATCCGACTTCTTTAACCACTATCCACAGGGTTGGTTCTCTTCTGCATAGAGCCCAATATAATAGTCTACATTACTAGCTACTCTGTTCATGCTCGATGACAAAGACAGTGCAGAAATCTAGCCTAAGTGCAACTGCTGTAAACTTATCAAAAGTTTTCAAGCAGTTTTTTTGTCTTCATGAGATTTGAGAGTGACAGGGAATTGAGGAAAAACATTCATTATCTGAGCAGATAATGTTATTTGTGGATAACAAGTCAAGAAAGCCAACTGTTGAGGTAATCAAATCCTGTAATACCTGAGAAGGAGAAGAAAACTATCATTAACATTTATTAGTATTTCAATGCTCCAAGTGCACTGTTAAAAATACCATTAAAAACCTGTTGCCAGGGAGCTCTGGTAGCCTAGTGGCAAGAAGCTGCACTGCAATCCCAGAGGCATGCAGTTCAAATCCACCAGATGCTCTGCCGGAGAAAGAGGAGCAATCTTCTTCTGTACGACTCAGATCCAATTTGACAGTACACACACACACACACACACACACACACACACACACACTTAAACAACAAAACAAACCTGTTGCCATCAGTAGATTCTGACTCATAAGCATTATACATGTACATATTAATTTACTATGCAAAACAATCTGTAGGTACCAGTAACCACTTGTAACAGAGCCAACTGTGACTTACGGTGACCCCATGTGTGCCAGAGTAAAACTGTGCTCTGTACAGTTTTAAAGGAATACATTTTAGAAAGTAGATCACTAGATCTTTCTTCCAAGGCACATCTGAGTGGACTTAAACCTCCAACCTTGCATTTTGAAGCTGATGATGTTAACTGTTTATACTGCACTATTATTATCCCCATTGTATGTGTGAAGAGACTGGAGAACTGAGATTAATTTCAAGGCCATACATATACTGAGTGGTAGCTCTGGCAATGGAATCCAGCTAGTGTAACTCTAGAGTCTGCTCTTTGAACTTGTATACTAATTTGAAAAGCTGATTTCAATACATACAGACAAAGAGTCTTGAAAATGCCAGAAATGTAATTTTGATTGCTTCTCTATTCACTTTGTAAACAAAACATTAAATAGTCTTAATAAATAAAGCTGATGATTTTTCTCAGCACAGCTCACTATATATACAACCTTAGCTACATTTAAAAAATCTGAGTTAATCTGCACAAGCCGTGAAAGCTATTATCTATTAAAAGAATTCAAACAAGTTATCTAAGGGACATTAGACATCCACATTTAGAAAAGTTAAAACTCAAACAGGAACAACAGAAAGCATTCATAATCCTGATGCTCTACTGAGAACTATACTCCATTGAGCAAATACATTTTTTTTTCTATTTCAGGAATACTTATTTTTGAGAGGAAAAGAACCTGAGACACATTTTAGATTTTTCAAAATTTAAGTAGAAGCTGTTCATTTAGATTGTTTCTGAGTTTCCTACTTTTGTATATTGACAAAAGAAAAAGATCAGATGATTGCAATTTCTGAAGCTATATCCGCCTTTAATAACTGCCATTCAAGTAGGATCCTCCTCTGTGAACAAAGTATTACTTTTAATAAAATGTTTTATCTCTATTTTTTTTTAATTTTTTTTTATTTATTTATTGTGTGTGTGTGTGTGTGTGTGTACCGTCAAATTGGATCTGACTGGTACAGGAGGTGATTGTTCCTCCTTTTTCAGCAGAGCATCTGGTGGATTTGAACCGCGCACCTCTGGGATTGCAGTGCAGTTTTCTGTCACTAGGCCACCAGAGCTCGCCTTATCTCTATTTTTTGTCAAGGGTTGTTACATGTGAATGAGTCTAGTAATAACATGAAAATGTACAATTCTACTAACTCAGCAATTTTTGATAAAGTGTTATCTGATTATTTAAAATCAAATCAAATAAAAAAAGACTTGGAAATATCTTAGTAAATTCTAAAGACAATAAAGTTATATATATTTCCCCAGAAATATATTCAAATCATATTTAAAATAGTTCCTCTATATATTATTCATACTTTCCCCTAAATATTTGCTGTTTGCTCCTTTCTCTTTCAACCTCCTACTGCCAGAACCATATTTGTAATTTTGATTTCTATTTGAACCTACCAAAAATTCACTGGTGTATGTAGCACAAAATATCTAAAATATTTCAGGAGTAAACCGCAGTGGCATGCACTTCTTAAACAACAGGCCTCTGGAAACTCTAGGAATTTTGATAAATGACAATGGTTATAGAAAGGCTTCAGGCCTTTTGTTCATAAGGTCACTATGAGTTGGCAATCAACATCAAAACAACAACAAAATGTTATATATATTATTTGTGAAACAACATTAAGACGTAAGACTATCTCTTAGCCATTTCAGTGAAGAAAAATTAAACATTCAGACTTAGATTTAGACCTGTATAAATTAAAAATGGTCAAAGCATTAAGCCATTGATAATGGGGTAAATACTCTGTAAAAAAAGTATCACCATTACAATATTGTAATAAGATATTGATGTTGAAAAAGCATGTTTATGAATTTTAGGTCCTAGATCTATATGACTAGTGTGTTTTAAATAAAAGAATTATCTTACTTTAGAAATATCCAGTTTTGTACAACAGATCACTTATCAAGACATTAAGACAAAAACTGAAGTGGATAAATCAAGAGTTCTTTTTGAGCAACTGAGGGAAAAGAATAATAAGTAAATTATGTCTCACTTTTGCTGAAAATAAAGCAGTAGAAGTAGTAAGAAAAAAGTGAACTTAAATTATAAAATGATTTTTTTCCCAACAGTCTAAATATAAGAGCCTTAATAAATGAGAAGTGATTTTAATTATAGGAGTGCTAGCTAGTCATTACTGTTGAAACATCCCTCAGAGTGAAAACTGTAATTCTATCTCTTGGGAATTGTATATAGAATATCTCAAATCATAAAAGTAAAGGAGAATTTAGAGTTTGAAGTTGTTAGTTTACGTTTTTAAAAAAAATTGACTGAATTTCTTGGTGGCCAGATTAAATCCTTGGTACCTTGCTATTTATATGGAACAAACGCCAGGAAGTTAGTCTGAGGTTTTAGGAAAGGTACGAAAACTCTTTAGGAAAGAGTTTTTAAAAACCACTGTAACAAAGATAAGTAATAGATATTTCATATCTATTCTATACTAAACTTTTACACTAGGGACATATGAAGTATTTATTTAATGAACCACATTATAAAAATTTATCCATAACATTCAATAGTCAAAAGTTTAAAAAAAAAACACCCAAAAACCTGATGTTATAATTATTTAGCTTAGAGACACGAGTAGTGCTTAAAGGTAGTTTAATAAAACTGCCAATTAACAACTGAAAACTTTGAGCCTATACTTACTTTGTACTTTTTCAAGTTAGGACTTTTTGTTAAGATGATTATAATTATGTCAATCACATAGAATGCAAAAATGAGGAGAAAGCAAATAACTATCATTATGCAATAATAATGAAATTGCACTCATTTATTCAGATATAAGGAAGAAGGGAACAAGTTGCAGTTTATTTGCACTTATAAACATTTTCATATTGCAAAGACATAAAATTCGAGGAAATATATGAGTATTTACTCATTACTATAGATTACTATGTATTTACTCATTATTATATATTACTATGAGTTAAATCAAACCTACCATTTGCAATTTCTGGTACATTAAGTTTGCTTAAGTGTTCTTTCTGTGCTTTTGCTAGCATGCATATTCTATGAAATTCTTCTTTCAGATCCCAGAAAGTCTTCTCTATATAATCCCTAATTAAAAAAGAAAGTCTAGATAAGCCTGTATTTTTCACACATTTAAAAATCTTAGCATGATTAAATGTACAGTGAGGTTTTAATGTACCACAAAATAATTATTAAAAAGTTAAAATCTTATTTTAAATTTCTAGAAAAGGCTCCCATAACAACACCAATGTTTAGAAAGCAATTCACAAAGAAAGCAATAAACCAAATGTTCTAATACATGTAGTTCAGACTACTTCAGTTACTTATTAACATATCACTTGCTTGCTCTTATTCTCACCTACTTGAGGAATTTTAAAGCATTAATTTCTATGAAAACATCTTTGATAAAGTTCACCTTAGGACCCATATTTTAAAAAATGAGGTCCTAATACTTGATCTACTGAAACAGTGGAGCTTCAGAGAATTCAGCTATTACTCGGCTCTGCTATTAAATGTATGCCTTTAATTAGCTCATTTTAAATGGAGAGTATCAAGTTTTAGTTTATTGGTCTTTTCAGTTCTAAAGAAGACTGTTGTTTTCTTACAATTACTGAAATTTCTAACATGTAGAAATATATTTCTCTGTAATACTTAGAATTGGCAAAAAAAAAGATAAAGAATTACCTTTCATGAAATAAAGGAATGCCAAGACTCCTTGGTGATGTTTCTTTTCTAGGAGAAGAAATCTCTTGTCTTTTTACCTTAAAAAAAAGAAATGATTATTACTTTAAATTGCTTTCAAACTCAAATGAGAATGGAATAGTAGACAACAAAACTTTTAGTTGTGTCAAGTCAGAAATGACTCAAAGCTAATCCTCCAGAGAGCTTCTGCGGCTATAAAGCGCATGGAAGAAGACTGCTCACTGTCCTCCTGTGGAGCTCCTGCTGGACTTGAACACCAGAGAGGTGCCACTTGTGGTTTGGCAGTGCCACTCCCTTTACCACCAGAGCTACCTTACCTACTGAAAAAGAAGTTTAGATGGTTTAATAACTAAATAAACCTGAAATTCCTAATTAAATTATTAGTAAAGCTTGTTATTCTGATCACCAAAGCATCTGGTATGAACAGAAACTTCAGGAGGAAAAATAATCCTGCGAGTGTATTATTATATCCACTAATAGCAGAGTAAGCATTTATATCAATGTCTTTGTGTTTTGCTATTATTTATTTACTGCTGAGAAAAGCAACTGTGTTAGATGATGTAGAAAACTGAAGGTTTCTTTTCGAGTTTTCCACAGCATTTAACAAGCATTGTAAAGGTTTATAGATACAGTGTAATTAATGTATTTAGGCTACTTCAACACAACTTCTGTTCTTACCTTTCACTCCCACCCTGTGGCTTATACTGGTATTACATTTATTCTGACAATTCAAAAAGTCAAAATTAAAGAACATGTAATAATCTATTCCATGGCTGAGATTTAAAAAATTATTCTTGGAAAGCTTTCTATGTGTACTTTTTGATGCTATAAACTAACAAAATAAGAGATGTTAAGAAACTCTACTATTAAATAACCATACTTAATTTAGTCATAACTGTGTGGTTTTTATTAAAATTAAAACCACTGGACATTTGTTTACATTTGATGTTGTGAGGTGTCATCAAATTGACTTCAGCTCACAGCGACCTCATAAACAACAAATCTGAACCTTGCCCTATCTTGCACCATCTTTAGCTCTGATATGATCAAGCCCACTGTTACTGTGCCAGTCCATCTTGTAGAGGGGTTTCCTCTCTCTGCCCACCTTTCCTAGTATGTTTTTAAAAATTTGAAGATTTTACTCAGTTAAGGTCATTGCTTCTCATTAAAATGAAATATTTCAATTGCTTATCTTTTTATTATTGAAATTTTCAATTTCTTATAAGTCTGATTTTTTCAAAGTACTATCTAGTTTTTCTTAAAATTAATATCCTTTATAATCTTAGATTATTGTCATTCTTCTGTTTGTTCTAAATATCACTGCTTGCTTAACACTTCTCAAATAAAGTTCTGCTAAGTAGTTAGTAAAAGAAAACGTGTTTTTGTGGGCATAATCAGACTGAAGAAAAAGAAAAATCATTTTATGGCTGTATACTGTTTGTCTGACAAACAACTAGTCTGTGACTACTTCTGGATGAAAACTACAGTTGAGCCTTATAAAAAGTAGTGACATCAGAAGGCATTTTCACATTCACAGTTTGTTTTTAAAAGTGGTAGACAAAGTTTTTCTTTAGTGTTATTTGCAATTTGAACACTCAATGGATTCTACTGTGGAAAAGAAAGGCAACATTTTAAAGTCAGTCAATCATCAAGATACCATAAAGGATGAAAAGAAAGTTTAAGAAATTATTCTTGTATTGAATGTACAGCACCCAAGTCAGGTAAGAAGCATGGCAAAAGAATAGGAAAACACAGGCATTGTAACAAGCTTAACAAATTATAACCAAGTGCATAATTTTATTAAATGAAATGATAGACATCCTTTTAAAGTTACTAAAAATTTTCACATAAAAATTTAGTAGAGGCTAAGAAGATCCATTCTTTAATTTTATTCTAAAAATGATTAGAAATTTCCAAAGTCCTGATTCCTCAACCTGAAGTTAAGGAAGCCTGAAAATTTAAAGGGATGAAGTTCAGGACCTGATACAATATGGGTAAACTTTGAAAACATGCAGCATGAAGAAGTCAGACACAAAAAGACAAATATTATGGTTCCATTTATCAGCTAATGCAGAGACCAAAGTTTATTAGTGGTTAGTAAGAACCAGAGTGGGGATAGGGAGTTAATGATGTAGGGGCACTGAGTTTCTGTTTGTTGTTGTGTGCAATCAGTAGAAATAATCTATAGCTGATCCTCCAGTGAGTTGTTGGAAGCTGTAAATGACATGGGAGCTGATAGCCCATCTTTCTCCTGCAGAGCCAAGAGATTCAAACCCTGTGCCTTTGGGAGTTCTTACCATTCAAAGCAGTTTCTTACTATTAGGCCACCAGAGCTCAACTTCCTGTTTAGGGTGATGAAAACATTTTGGAAATGGAAAATAGTGATGGGAGCACAACATGGTAAATGTAATTAATGTCGCTGAATTTTACATTAAAAAATATGGTTAAAATGACATTTTTCTTAAACAAGTTATTTACCACAGTGAGTTACAAAAACTCCCAATAAACCAAAACATTAAACAACTACTGAATGAGGTAAAGGAAAAGCCACCCCCCAAAATCCTCCCCAAACAAACAATAACTTTAGAGTGGCTCAACAAGTAACTGGTATCATCTGGTTTCTGTGCTACGCAGATTTGATAACTGGTGTGGTTGAGTTTCTCTGAGAAATATGTCTTGAGTTTTGGCATGGAGTAAAGCAATTATTGAGGAATGTCTATAATAAAGTTTCTAATCTAAGGTTATCAGCTTCTTTGGGGTTAGAAACACAGCCCTGCTTATTATTATTTTTTATCTTATTATAACGAAAGAAAGTAAACAATATGCTGCATCTCTTTATTCTCATTAAAAAAATCTGTTACTATATATGGAAATTAAAAAATTGCGGTCATCGGCATTCTAAGTAAAAATAATTTCTAAATGTGATCTATCAACTCACTTACTCACTCACTCAACTCACTGCCATTGAATCTGAACTGACTCAAAGCTGACTTTCTGGTGGGTTGTTGGAGACTGTAAATCTCAGCACAGGAGAAGATTTTGACATTTATCTCTAGCAGAGTCGCTCATGGATCTGGACTGCTCCAGAGGCTCCACGTTTGGATAAGCAGTGCAACTTCCTCCAGACTCTGCTACCAGAGTTCTCCTGTTAATAGTAACACTTTCATGGGTGGTGTGGGGTGAGGGGAAGCAACCTAGAACAGATACAGTAAGTTAATGATATTTTTCATTATAATCATCTCACACAGCTTTCTGAAAATGGTAATTTCTTTTTCAAAGAATTTGAGATTAGTATAATTAATGAAAATAATAGGAAATTCTTTTCCTAGGAACACTTTCTCACTGACTCTTTGTTAAGAATTTTAATTTCCACTCCAGATAAACGGAATTGGAATCTGCATTTAAAAAAATCCCCAAGTGATTCTTAAGTCTATAGACATTAAGATAAACTCAACCGAAAGTGTTGCTATGATTCTTTAAATTTCCTCTTAAATAAACATGTGTATGTGTGTGTTCTCACAGGCTAACTGAATGATATTTGAGAAAGATAAAAATAAATTAGCAAATATTTCAGTAGCCCCAAATCAAGTTCATTATTAATGCAAAGATAATAGAAAATGTTTTAGTGTTGGGATTCCAGGATCTCTTGGAGATTAACATCTCAAATAAATATATATTTTCCACAATGCATTTTGTTCCACTTACTACTAAAAGTAGACACACTTTATTCTCTGGTGGCTTAGTGGTAAGGAATTGTGCAGCTACACAAAGGTAAGTGGTTTGAATCCACTAGCTGCTCTGTTGGAGAAAGAAGGGCAATCTCCTCTCTTGTGATTTACTACTTTTGAAAATCCGCTGGAGGGTCATGAGTTGATTCTGACTTCATGGTATTCAACAACATCAAATAATTAGAAAAATTTTAGAAAAAGCTATGAGAAGATTTTAATAATTTTATTTTAGAATATCTTTTCAAATTAAGCACTTAAAATCAGCAAAATTGGGATTTTGGAACTTTTAACGATGTTACTGATTAAACTCACTATAATATATACTGAATAAAAATTTCAAGATATCTGAATTATAGCAATGCCAATTACTTTTTCTAAGGATGTTTGGTGGCTCAGTGGAAAGGAGTTGCAAGGTCAACCTAAAGGCACACAGTTCAATTCGACAAGCTGCTCTGCAGGAGAAATAGAAGTAGTATCTTGTGAGATTTACTGTCTCAGAAAACCTGCTGGAGGGTCATCTCAATGGTACACAGCAACAATAACATCACCTTTTCTAGTTTTCATTGCAAATAATCCCACTAAACTTAGTTGAGTTTTTTTTGTATGCAAAGGAGTATTTTTTTTAGGTGGCTCAGCAACTGAATGTCGTTAATATTTAATTTAGTTTCTGGATGAATTTCAACAGAATTATGATCTTTAAAATCTAAAAGGGAAATAAGGTCTTTTCAAGGCTAGTGCAAACTATAAACACAAATCAAGGTGAGATGGGATAGACTGATATATTGGATATAAATTATTATAATAGTTAAAATTTTTTTGTTAAAAATTCACTAGAGAGAAAAGAAAAAAGACAAAAGAGAAATTAAAAATAAGGATTTGCTTATCAATTAGATTTCTTTGAAACCTAAGAATAAAAAGTTAATAGGGGTAAAATTATTTCCTTGCCAGTTTTACATATATTGAGTCCATAGATGTTACAGTGATACAAAAAACCACATATAGCTAAACTAGAGAAAAAGTGGGCAAAGGGTTGACAGGAAAAGATCAGGGTAGAAAATAGGAACAGAAAAAAATACTAGACAAAAAAGATTTGATAAGAATAATTATAAAAGTGTAATTTTTAAAAAGCACAGTAAAATTAGTTAAAGGAAAAAGGTATATAAAATTACCAAAAACTATCAATTTAATCTACTAGAAATATGGCCATAGGAAATGATGGTTCTCTTGCACTTATTGTCATTCCTAAAAATCGAGTAAAGCAAGAAAAGCAAATTCTAGAAGCCTTGTCTATTCTACATGATGCAGTGTGGTAGACAAAAGCACTGCCAATG